GTTCGAACAGACGCGCTTATCGTTGGACTACTCCATGAAGATCCTTCTCACCACCTCACGGTTCGCGAAGCGAGTAAGACCTCCAAGTGGGTATTAAGCCCGAACAGCGGCGAGTTTGGCTGGCAGGTCTGCTTCCCGAGCGGAGAACCATCGTTCTACTTCCATCCTTTCACACGCGCAGAGTTCGAAGATATACTCCAGCTGTGCGACGAGACGCTTGCAGCAGACCCACCGCATATCGAAGTCGCTGGCTCACTGTTAGGCTGGACAGTTCACCGAGCGTCACTCACACGAAGAGTCGAAGATGGCTCGATCATCTCCCACGCGAGGTTTACGACGCGTGTAGCCTGCTCGCTGGAAGAACTGGACTCCGTGATCATCTCGTCCAGTCTCGATTCATGGCCGCTAATATGGACACCACCGAGCTGGGGATACAAGGAGCGCAAGCAAGTATGTTGTCAGGTGTTGCAAGAGTTCGAAACGGATGCGTACGTCCTTGTCCACGACATCCCTGGGCCCATACGCTCCCGTTACATCAGTTTAGCACGACGACTACCCAGACAAGACAGCGGGAAGCGGTCTATCACGTACGTTATGGTGATCGCGGATTCGGAAGCCAAGTCGAAAAAGTGCACTACAGACGAGGAGAATGGTAATGTTAAGTGGATCAATGAAGGTGGCAGCTACATCAAATTCACGGAAGTGAACTCAAACTTAATCGATGTGCGCTACGACCGCTGGGCCAGTTGCCAAGATGAGCTCCACGCGCAGCATCTTTTCGTCCGTTGGGCTGAGTTTGCGAACGAGTGGGCGCAGAGGATGGTTCATTGGAAGTTGCTCAGATTTAACCACCAAAAGTAATTTGCGGAGCTTAGGTATGTTTCTGTTGCGATGCAATATTTTATTACAACGTTTGAAACCGGTGATAAATCCCAATACGACAGATTGGGCTACTCATTACTGAATCGAGCAGCAAAGACTATCGTCACCGTTCATTCGAAGCTTACCAGACGCGCGAGTTGTTCTGTTGATCGTGCTGAGAAGACCTTGACTTGAACTTGCGGCTGGAACTTGACTACTACATGCTCACAATTTAGGAGCTGCAACTCTCGTACAAACCTAACGTGCATTGCGGGCAGTTGCTTCTTAGTTGTGGAATGTAAAAATGATATTCCGAACATATTTTGCGGACGCTCGCGTAAGACTCTTGGGTGGCGCATCGATAGACGTCTGTACAAATAAAGTTATTTAATCCGACTGAGGGCAGCTCGTGCATTTCTCTTCCTTCCCCTGTTATATCAGAATGTGCTCACGTTAGCTCTCTGATGCTTGTCTAGATATCCGCAAGCATGTTTTCATACGCTCTTAGTTGTTGGGGTCTTATTTGATAGGGACCTACGGATGTCGCCTACAAGAAGTTTGACATATATTTGACAGAGTCGTGCCTTCGGCCCTGAAAATTCGCTTTACATTAAGATCGTAAAGTGTCCGTCTGTCCGTCCAGCGTTACAAAAGAAATCGATACCGATTGGCTGAAAATCGGGAAAAAAATCGTTGCGGGCTGGAAAATGCGTTTTGGACAGTGGGGTTGGTGGTTAGGCAGAAAAGGGGCGTGTAGAGAGGTTAGGTAGAAAAGGGGCATGTTTAAGGCAGGAACTTCTTGTGATTGGTTCAGATAAAGTAATTGGCTGGAAGTTGGCTCTCAGAGGTCGGCGTGGGAAGAAAAATGGTGGGGCATCCAAACAACACATTATTGGGTAGAAAAAGACATTATTCTGCCGGGGACGTCTTCTGATTGGTTAAAATCTATCAAAGTCCTTATTGGCTCTAAAAAGCTAGTATTACAGCCTGGAATTTGGCTTTAAGATGCAGGATCGGTATAAAAAGGGGTGTTAAGGGGTTGGTAGAAAAGGGACATTGTACAGACAGGAAGTTCGTTTGATTGGCTCAAACACAGTTAGTCTTAACTGGCTGGAAAATAACTTTAGCCAAACGTTTTGGAGGCCTGGATGGGTATAAAAAGGCTCAATATGATACAGCTGCACCCGGGTTGGCTAAATTGATACGGATTACATTTGGCTAAAACAAAGCCAATCCTTACAGAAAGAGTAGTTATCGTCATTAGCTGAGAATCAAAGAAACAACCACCAACGTGAGGCTGGAGAGACTGACGAGGTGGAGGCACACGACGTTGGTCATCGTTTCATTTTACCGCCATCTTTTACCGGAGGACTACGTTATATGTATCAGCGGTTTCAAGATGCAATGGCTATCGTTCGAGAACTTGGCGCACCAAACCTTTTTCTACTATGACTTGCAATCCAAAATGGGTGGAGATAAAAGAGAATATTAAACCCGGGCAGACTGCGTCGGACCGACCAGATATTGTGGTTAGGGTTTGTATGCAAAAACTGAAAGAACTTTGCAAAGATCTCGATGAAGGCGTTCAGGGTATTCAAACAGCACGGATTTACGTGGTGGAGTACCAAAAGCGAGGTTTACCGCACACACACATATAGATGATATTGCGACCCGAAGATAAATCTATTACGTCGGATGATGTTTTTTGATTGGTTTCTGCGGAATCGAACTACTTTGACGGCGTATTTTATGGTTTGCCTTACGGGGCCGAACGTGGCAGGTCAAATGTTGTACAGAGATATTCCGAAGGTGTACCCGTGGAACAAAAGGAGTAAAGTGTGGGTGCAGTACAAAAAATACGTTCCTTCCATTGGCCGAATCGTTCACGTTTCTCCTCAAGACCCGGAGCGATTATACTTGCGCCGTCTGTTTTGTTATTGTCGGGGCCAACCTCTTTTGAAGATCTACGCACAATTGATGGTACGTTATACCCCACTTATCAGGCTGCCTGCATGGCTGCTGGATGTTTAGACAATGACAGGGAATGGGAGGAATGCCTTCAGGAAGCAGCTTATGAGTGTCTACCATATCAACTTCGGCAACTTTTCGCAATAATTTTGGTTTACTCTCTTCCCAGTGAACCCGTGAGATTATGGGAACAGTTTAAACAGGATTTGAGTGAAAATTTTCAAAGAAACCTCGGTGCGGACGCTGATGACAGAATGGTAGAGTAATACACTCTAAAAGGCTTGGCAAAAAATATTGCGTGTCAACGGGAAGACACTTTCTAACTATGGACTACCTGTTCTTCAAAACTACCCTGAGGAAGCCGCGCGCGATGCAGAGCCTACTGGAAATTTAATTTAACAAGGGCTGAACGCATATCCACTGTTGCAATTGGAGCGTACTGCGGCTTCGGTGGATAAGTTAAATCATAACCAAAAGGATATTTTCGATCAGGTGGTTGGCGCAGTAAACAATCCAGAGGAGGGCCAAAATCTGTTCTTTATTGACGGTGCGGGTGGAACGGGAAAATCTTTCTTACTAGAACAACTACTTTCAAGGGTGCGTCTTGATGGTCGAGTGGCTGTGGCTGTTGCTTCCAGTGGAATTGCTGCGACGCTATCAATAGGAGGTCACACAACCCACTCTACATTTCGGATTCCACTTAAACCCAACGAACACTCAACGTGCAGCATATCCAAACAGACCTAGAAAGCAGAGTTAATCCGTCGGGCGAGTTGCACTGCGCGTGCTTTGAAGCGGTTGATCGGAGATTTAGGGACATCACGAATAACTATCGCGAGCCTTTTGGAGGCAAGGTGATGGTTTTTAGTGGAGATCACCGCCAGATATTACCGATTTTAAAGGACGCAACCAGGGCGGAAACTCTCAAGGCGTGTTTCAAATCTTCGCCTTTGTGGCAACATCTACGGCAGGTACGGCTTTTTGAGAACATGCGAGTGAAAACGGCACCGGACTCGGACAGCGCGGCAGAGTTGGCTGAGTTCTCACGCGAAATTGGAGAGGGACGTTTTCCTGTCAACCGGGAAATTGATGAGCAAGACATTTCTACTCCTAAGTCCATGTGTGTAAATGTAGAGCAGGACATAGATTCCGAAGAAGAACCAGACGTTCCGGTCCAGAATTTTAATCTATTTCCATGTGAGTATAACTCTGCCGACCAAGATTTACCAGAACCCGAAGAAAGTCGGCGCGTTCAAAACGTCAACGCGTTGATCGATGCAATTTACCCCGGCGTCGATGCTGCAGACTTGCCGGACCAATACGTTGTGGATCGAGCTATTTTGGCCCCTACAAATGCAAGTGTCCGTCGGATTAATGAAATGGTAGCTGAGCATCTTTCTGGGGAGACACGCACATAACTGTCAAACGACAGCCTTGATGGGCCCGGGAATGGAGATCTGTTTGAGCCTGAGTTTTTGAACTCGCTTAACTTTTCAGGGATGCCTCCTCACAAGATGGTGCTTAAAGTGGGCACGCCGATTATCATAATCCGGAACTTGAACAATGATGAAGGTTTGTGCAACGGGACGCGTTTGCGTATGGTTACAATGTGCGAAAAGTGCATTGATTCTACTATCATGTCTGGGCCGCGGCGGGGACGAAGGGTGTTCATCCCGCGTATCATTTTCTTCAGCGACGATGACAACAAAGAGTTTCCTTTTACCCTACGATGGAAGCAGTTTCCTATTGTACCGGCGTTTGCTATGACGCTCAACAAGGCGGAAGGACAGTCGATTCACCACGTTGGGATTTATCTGGAAATCCCGGTGTTCGCGCACGGTCAGCTGTACGTGGCGCTGTCTCGAGTTACTTCCAAGAAGGCGATCAAGATCGCCATCGACCCGGAGCAGATAGACGATGGCGGGATGGTGCACACAAGGAACATTGTGTACCGAGAGATTTTTTGAGTAGGCAAGAGGAACGTAAATACAAACAATTTGGCTGAAGTGTGCGTGTGTGTTGAGTAAGAAATTAAGTGAGTGAGTGAGTGGAGAAGTGTGTAGGTGAGAAGGTGAGTGAGTTAAAGAGTAAGTGAGTGAAAAAAGTAAGTGAGTGAGTGAAAGGCGAGTGGGTAGGTAAGTAAGGGAGTCAGTAAATGTGTTTAAATTTGAGCCAAACTAGGGTCAGAAATAATATGTGTTGTTTTGAAAAAATAAGCAATTTATGAAAGGGCTATTGACGCCGACGCGCCCGCGTAGCGGGCGTCTCTAGCGCTAGTCAGGCTACATAATAGTGACTGCATTTCAGTGCTTACAAAACAGGTAGTCTGCGACGAATCCGGGGAGCCATTTGATTGGTTATAAATGTCACCTTGTGGTAGTTTCCGCTTTGCTGGGAATGCTGGTATGCTATTGCTTGCAAGTTTAAAAGTGAGCTTGCTTCTGACTAACTCCTGCTTCTGCGTTCTATTCGACTGTTCCTACTCCTATCAGGGCCACAGGTTTCACCCTGGCACAGCCTTGAGAGTCGAGCACCAGGGTTGCAGTAAACCTATAACTTCACGTTGATAGACGACGCTGTAGTTTGGGATGGGGTTCTTGATTCAGGATAGCCTCCTTGCCATTAAGGAAAGACTCCTTGCTGTGCCACACACTACAAACCTCACATGATATTCACAAGCTAGGTATAAAACAAAACCAATAATACTTTCTGGACGTCCCAGTATCAAATAACAAGTAGCACGCAAAGTTTCTTACCACAATTGAAGCGTTTGGCGGTGCCCCGGGTCACCATAATGACCCGGCTCTCAAAAATATTTTAAAAATATTTGTAATTTTTTAATATACGAAGTTAATCACTTATCTATTGGTTTGAAGAAAGAGAGTATAGATGGATTCGAAGGCCGGGGCTGCACTTTTCGTGGCCGTCCAATAGGTTTCTTAGCTGGAGGCTGTGCTCCTGGTGCTGCCTTCCGCTTAGTGACACGATCCTGAGCTTTAGTTGCGTCTGATGTAGTTTCTTCACTTTCTATGGCTTCTTGAATCGGAGGAAAATAGTCTAAGTACTGCGCTGGAATTGAAAAATACTTCAGCGAAAGTGATGTAAGTTTTCTTGTGAGTTTTAATCTCTGTATCATTGAGCCTCCAACTCCGAAAATGGCGCGTATTTGTGCGTCTGCAACACCTTGCCGAATTAAACTAAGAACCATACCTTCAGCCTGGTCGTGCTCGGACCCTCCACATGTAGAATCCAACGATCGGTAAGTCTGTTGTAGTTGACGGACGGTCTCTTCTCCAACTGTCTCGCGAGCACGATCTATAGGTGACGACTTATGTGAAACCGCTCGACGGCGACTTGGTATCGTCTGAGCTGAGCCCCCAGGACCACCGGTTCGACGCTGCGCTCTACCGTCTTCATCAACACGACTGGTGCTGATCATCCCATCTATGACTCCAGTCTGGTTGGGTACATGAGTGCTGTGATCAGCAGCTAAGGGTGCTGGGGCAGA